GGCCTCTGGGCAAGGGCAGAAAACAGACCTTCCACACAGAACTGAGGTTTAGGTCCGTGCCAAAGCCCGTAACGCTTTGCCCACCAGGAAAAATCACACGCTCAGGTGACCAGGACATCGGCCCCCACCTGTCACCCCCTGCCTCTCTGTGCCTGAATTGCAGAGCGCTCCCTGGGGCCGAAGCAAGGGACAGTGTCCCCGCACTGCGGGGCGAGGCAGAGCAGCGCCACGGTGCCCTGCACGACTCAGCCGGGTGGCGTGGGTAAGATCTTTGATTAGATTTGTTACCTTCTAGATTCTAAACCTTCGATTTAGAGAGATGACGATCACACTTGGGAGTTTGACTTTGACCTGTTGCACCACTGCAATTCCAGTTTTTAGCAGGGTTATGTCTGGCTCACGCCAGCACGAGGGGAAACCTGAACACACACACACACACGCACACACACCTCTCTGGCACCAACACTTGCACCAACAGCCGGCTCTGCTGCACTCACAGCAGGAAACACAAACACACTTTTCCAACCTTCCTGCCCGCACCCAGCTCACAGCAACTCCCCCAGACCCACAGCACCTACCCTTGTGCTTAACAAACAACGATCAAAAGCTTCTGGTGCATTTAAGGGACACCAGCAAAGGTTCTCAACACACCCAACTCCAACAGATCCATAAACCACAGCGCTCAGGAGGAAGAGGGGAGCTGGTGACAGCAAGCAGCTCGAGAGCAAATATCACCAGGCGATACTGCCCACAGCTCATGGAAAATCTCAGCCTAGCAACGCATCTGTGCATTTATTTGTCTTCTGTCTGATGCGCATAATTAACGAGAAACTAAAACTCTATCCATGCCAGGAAGTTTCGGTTAATGCATTTCAGGAGAGAAGGCACGAATTACCTGGAGATGATTTCAGCACGGGGTCAAAGCAGCCTCGAGGCCAGTGACGAGCAACGCCTCCGTGACTGGCACTGGCTTTTCCTCAGGAAAGGGCAGAGCTCTGCTTACCTGAAACGCTTCTTACGTCGGTCCCTAAAGCCTTGGAGAGGGGCAGGACAACTCTTCCCACCCGTGGCAGCAGCTGCAGATTCCCCATATACTGGGCCAACAGAGACAATCCCCCGCGATGTTCCACCAGGACCCAGAAGCGCGGCACCCAGCGCCACGAGGCAGCTCAGGGCAGGGATGGGAAACAGGGCGGTGGGTGGCTGCTGCCGGGACTGAGCCCCCCACTCCGCAGAGGCAGCGGGGTGCTCCACGGGGGGTGCGAGTGCGGAGCAAATCCCCAGCCCCGCGCGTGCTCCTTGTGCGTTCCGCCAGAACACGGGGGCTGCGACGGGCTCAGACAAGACAAACACCAGGTTAATGACTTTGGAAAGTAGGCTTTTTATGGTTTTTTTTCTTTTTTTCAATTGCAATTCTAGGAATATCCATCAGTGACTCAGACACTTCGCACAGTAAATGAGAACTCTTTATTTAAATTAACTTCCTTGGTTTCTTTTTAGGACAGCAGAAAGGCGCAGCTCTTCATCTCTTCCGAACGGTCGAGGAAAAACCTCCCGAGCTGGCCCACGCAATCTAAAGAGCGGTCGATCTTAATTTTTACTGAAGTTGCAAAATGATGTAACTACTCCGCGTATAATTTTGTTTATATAATTTAGTATATAACGGACTGTTCAACTCTGCCATATATTTTGAAAAATATACAAACCTGCTTTAACCATGTCACGTCAGAGATACTTGATAGACAGCTGTTGATTACTTAATAGTTTAGGACAACATCAGACACTCCTATAACTTCATTTTAAACTACAAAAAGAACATAAATTCATATAAAATACAACAGATTAAACAAACTTTTTTTTTTCTCTGAGGAAAAATTAGGTATCAACTCAATCTGCCATTGTGTGAAACATGAATATAAAATAAGTTACAATTAGTAATGCCTGCATTGCTGAGCTATGAACTGGTCGGATGAAATCTTAAAAAAACTATACAGTATTATTGCACTCCATGACTGTGCAGTATCTGGAAACACGCCAGCACTGAAAGAGCTCTTCCATTAAGCTTTTTTTCAGGAGGCACGACGTGGCTGCGAGGGAAGCATCTAGCCTGCACCAACAGCGCGCTGTCTTCAGTGCAGGCCTTCATGGGTCTGCGCCACGCGGCCGGGGAAAGCGCCACTTAATGCCTGCAACGAGACACGACGTTAGGGTCACCACGAGACGTGATGTCAGGGTCACCACGGCTCCTCCGG